TGTTGATTGGCTCGTGAGTACCTCACAGAAAAGTCCAAACAACATCATACTTTAGCTGTGGATGGCAGACATGGTGTCTGCTATCAGAGATCTGTGCAATTATTAATTTAATCAGGCGCAGCTGCAGGAACACATGCAGTAAGTTCTGAAGCAGTGAATTAGCAACACAGCCAGCAATAGACTGGTGACCTGTCCAGGCTGACCCTGCCTCTCACCCATTGACCGCTGAAGATAGGCACCAGCCTCCCTGGTTGACCTCACTATGGATAAACCATGCAATGAATGGATGGATAGCAGCGCTGCTAGCAGCTCATTTCTCTTAAGAATGGGCAGCAATAAAGAAAGAAACAGTGAAGCTGTGATTGGTCACCTAGTTCTGCTCTGACAGTGTGAAACACCAGAACTACATAATATTAACTTGTGATGTGAATTTTAGTTTTCCTTTGGATTAAAAAATAAAGGTAATGATTAGCTTTTGGATTACACCTTTTGACTGCATTTAAAAAAAAAAAAAAAAGAAGAGCCAGAATGTGATTATTTTTATATGCATAGTGTAATAATCAGGGGATCTGAGCCTTATGTCTCAGTTATGTCTTATGCCAATGAATTTCTGTAAGACAAAATAAAATATCTGGCTTTATATGAGTCCATTAAAACCAGAACCTTGAGATTCTCCATCACTGGATCATTTCAAATGATCGACTCGGAGTATGCAAACCATCTTCCACCTCCCAAAGCCTCAACCTAGATAAAGATTAGATTAAAATGATTTAATTATGTCTGCTACTGAATTAAGCCATCATTGGATCTTGCAAATTATTACTAATTATAGAAGCATATAAAAATGTTGAGTTGTGGACATTCAATTATTGTGTCACTGTAATGTCAAGTTTTTCAATAGTAGTAAAACAGTCTTAGTGCCTTGTTTGCTAATTCACAGTAAGCTTTTATAGATTGCCTTAGCTCAAGTTAAACTACATCTCTGGGACTTCTGATAAAGTTACATAGTAATTGAGGCAACTTCATCAGAAGCTTCATTTTGCTGGCTTTATAAATTTATTAACTAGAAATAAGCTTATTGTGTACATTCATTACCTACTGAGAGCATGTTACATTTCTTTACACTTCCTAAAAGGCCTTCTAATGGATTCCCTTTTGTTTAACGCCATTCCTCTTAGAATTTAACAAGCAGCTTTGTTTATAGGTGAAATCAGTTCAACTCCTAAGATGGAAAAATACTTGTCGCAAGGCTTTGAACAAATTGAAAATGTAATAATACAAGAAAAAAATTGAGGAGAGAGAAAAAAAAACAATTTCCTTGCTGCAGCTGCACAAAGGTCCTCCTGCAGAGCTCCTTCCATAAAGAACATTATTCATCAGTCATTGAAGTAAACAAGAACAGCTTTTTTTTGTTTCCAGCGCTGAAGCCACCCGCACAGAGTTATGACTGTTCAGTCATGCTTTTCTTACAATTCTGTGTAACAACTGCATGACCTTCTTTAAAAATAAAAAAAAAGACATGATTGTAAAAACAGGATCCTCACAGCGGACTCGCTGCTCTTCTGTCTGTAAAGGCTTGTACAGCAGCTTGGACCTTGTTCTTTGTGCTTTTGTGTTCTTGTGTTTATCTCTCTTAGTGGACTTCAGACGAGGCTCATTTTAACCATCAACTCATTTAGTCCTTATCAAACTGTAACTGGGTGCTTCTGAGAAATGAAGGATCTATGTATCTGCATTTATAGGTCATATATATATATATATATATATATATATATATATATATATAATATATATATATAATATATGTGCTTGCGACATATATATATATATATAATATATATATATATAATATATATATATATATATATATATATATATATATATATATATATATATATATATATATATATATATATATATATATATATATATATATATATATATATATATATATATATATATATTCTAAATCTGCTCTATATTGAAAAACTCCACCATGATTTAAAAGGTGTCACTGAACTCAATTGTACTTCTAAAATGATATGATATGATTTTCCGTGGTTCTGCGACTTTCATGCCTCGTTCTTAGGGGTTAGGTTATTCTGATCTAAACTGCATCATTTGTTGCTATTTCAACTGTTAACTTATGATTATTTTTGTCTCAATTGAAGCTACATCTGCTCTAGCATTTAGCTGTGGTACCTTCTTACAGGAAGGCATTTGAGCTAAACGTTCTCCCTGTCCTGTTATTTTACTTTTAATGAACATATAAATTTCTTCTACATCAGCTCTTCTGTTTCTTTTTTGTTTATCTGCTCTGTCATCTCAAACCACCAATCTTTCAATCAATGTCCCAGCTGTTATTAATAAAAGGCAACTCTAAACAGCTCTAAATTTAAAGGCACTCAGTGTTTTCAATGTTTTGCAGTTTGCTGGAAGTTTTTTCCACATTTGTGGACCATAGAGGCTGAATGCTGATTCTCCATGTTTGGTTCTGGTTCTGGGGATGCAGAGCAGACCAGAAGGTTGATATGACAACAGCAGATCTTTAATGCATTCTTCCTGGTTTTAGTGAGAACACGAGCAGCAGCATTGTGGATCAGCTGCAGCTGTCTGATCTGTGAAGACAACTAACGATAGTGACTTTCTCTGCATCTTGTTAATTCTGTAAATGTTCTTCATGTGATAAAAGGCTGACTTCGATACTGTCTTTATGTGACTCTGAAGACTCAGATCTGCATTCAGATTCCGGGCCTGATCTCTAGTTTCCAGTTGTAATAACCGGAGCTGTGTGCTGATCGTAGATCGTTCCTCTTTAGGTTCAAAGATAATAGCATCAGTTTTGTTTCAGGTAGTTATAGCACCTCCACACATTCCACACCTCCATTCCATTATAGTTCTTGGATGGGTTTGGAGTCACCTGGTGACATCATAACTTAAATACTGAACTGTTCTTTTATCCCACAACAATTCCATGTTATAATGAGTCAAACTGGTGCTAAAAACAAGGCTACACTTGGTCTCCCTCTAGTTTGACCCATTATATTCTTTAGCAGGATGACCCAGTCTCTCTTTGCAATCCTCACCAGATCCTTCAAAATAGACTTCTTTGGGAACTGGGAAGGAGAATAGAACCTAAAAGCTCCTCTCTATATTCCAAACCCTTTTAACCAAGCTCTATTAACCTCACCGTAGCATATTACCCAAACAGAGCACTATGCTCTGAGAGCGCAGCCTTTCTTGCACTTCCTGGAGTTTCGAAAAGTAGAAGCTTACTCTCCTGTGAAAACCACTTCCAGTTCAGGTTCAGGAGGCTGACGGCCTCTCTGCTTTTAAGATTAAGTCTGAAGCCTTAACTTTGAGCTTATGGTGTGGACTCTGGGGACCCTGAAGCATGTATTAGACCCTCACTGCAGGTGGGAGACCTGGTATATGATGCACTGAACTCCTCCTCTCTTCTCTCTGTGAGTTTGTGTCATTATAACGTCTCATTATAATGGCTCAAGAGACATCGTCTCTGTCTTTTGAGCTATCTGCTTTTTATCTCCATATACCATGATGGTGTCATCTCCTGCTTCAGTCTTAGAGGTTTCAAATGCTCTGGTAGCTGTTTTGTCAAAATAAGAAATATATATATATATATATATATATATATATATATATATATATATATATATATATATATATATATATATATATATAATATATATATATATATATATATATTTTTTTTTTTTTTGTATAACGTTTCTGTTTAATTTTCAACTTGATTCAAGAACACTTTATGCTTTGGATTTTGGGTTCAATTCAACCCAAGCTCATTTTAATCATACCTTCCAATTAAACCCAGTTACAAAGTATTACAGTAAAGTTCAGTTCATTAGTCAAATTGGTTCAAAACGTTTTCTATTTAGAGAAAGGTCAGGTAGGCTGCACAATGGCACAGTTGGTAGCACTGTTGCCTTGTAGCAAGAAGGTGCTGGGTTTGATTCCTGGGCTCTTTCTGTATGGAGTTTGCATGTTCTCCCTGTGTGTGCATGTGTGGGTTCTCTCTAGGTACTCTGGCTCCCTCTCACAGTCCAAAAACACGACTGATAGGGAAATTGGTCTCTCTAAATTCCTCTCCTGGTTTATTTAGCTATGTTTACTGCCAAGGTCTGCAAAAGTCACAAGATGTCTGTGGTGTGAATTACTGCAAATTTAGATCAAAAGCAGCAAAACATGGTTAACTAAACAATGAATACTTTGTACTGTACCTTTGATTCCCTCCATTTGTGCTGTCAGTATTTTAAGTGAAACTTTAACTAACTGTGTTCCATTACAAATGTGTTCAAAACTCTGTTGATTTTCCGCTCAAAAAACAAACAAAACAAAACAAACAAACAAACAAAAAAAAAACATTCAATTTTGCAATTGCCTAGTTTCCATTAAACAAGAAATGCAATTAAAGTCACAGTTCGTTCACGCAATATTATTAAGATAAATAATGCGCAATTATCCACTTCGTCATTTCCGCCAGTGGTAACAAAGTTGTTGATCATGCACTCCAGTGTTCCAAAGTAAACTAATGTTGATACAACTTCACCCTCGCGCCAAAACTTATTTTGAAAAACGCCAGTTTTCTTTCTTGTGTGTTTTTTTCCTCTCCTAATTGAACTGTTTCCATTAAGCAAATGTATTTTTGAAATGTCACTAACTTGTGTGGATTGGGTTGATTTGATACTGGACGGTGAAAGTCCAACCTAATCCCATTTTTTCAAATCATAATTTCCTTATATATGAGGTAATTATGAGCGCAGGAACTGAGCTCATGTTTGCTCTCTTTTATGAATTTTGTGGCAGATTCACGTCAGATTAAACTTTAAACCCACCCTTCACTAATCCACGGAGACTCAGCTGATTACATGAAACAGCTGGTAATAGTTTGATGAGAGGGGAGTGGTCTGAAGCTGCCTGTCTTTTCTCGGTGAAGAAGAAAAAAAAAGAAAAGAAAGCGTTGGCACTTTGGTAGTCCCTGTCGGGACGTCTTGCGGTTCTCTGTCAGCCACTGTGCAGACTGCGCGGCTCGGCGCACATCGTCGCTGCGGTTCTGTCTCCTCCGGCTCAGGTAAGACATCCGTCTAACTTGACTGTCGCGGTCCAGTTACAGGCGAACCGTTCGGGAGTCTTGGTGTGACATCCTGGATGCTTCCTGCTCTTGGTCAGCGGCTGTATTTCTGTCATTTTGCTGCTCTGGCTGCTGTTTTAAAGCTGTGATCTGATAGGGCAGCAGGCTGGATAACATCAGCATCCTGGATAACATCAGCATCCTGAGCGCGTTTCCTCGCGGCTGGAGTGAAAATGGGTTTTACATTCGTTGTCCGCGTTGAGCTTCATTATATTGTTTTAGTGGACAGTTGTGAAAATGAGCTGGTGGAGATGGACCGATGCTTTGCAACGAAGACTCACGATGAGAATCATTTCTTAAAGAAAGCAATACTATTCCCCTTCATTTTACCTTTGGGTTGATTTGGGAGAGAGTTGAAAAGAGATTTGGTTTTACTTTGGTTCTTCTCTCTGGTCTCCAGACCCTGAAACGTGACAGAAAGCTTCCACCTAGTGTTTCTTTTTTCTCCATCTCTGCTGCTTTTTCTGCTATTAAACAATAGAACTGGAGGGCAAATTACCAAGACACTCGCCCCCTCCACCCCTGTTCATCCCACCCAGGCAGGTAATAAATATGCCATTAGTAGGTTTCCTTCAAATGAAGTCCCCTCAGAGTTCAGTAATCACGCTTCTCTGTCACTGACTCCACAGAAATGATGATTAATATGACATTTTGTGGCTTAATTTTTTAAAGCACTGACTTAATAAGCTCGTCAAGCAGTGGAGCCCCTGTGATTACTCAGAGGGGTGCAGGGGGCATCAAAAGGGTTCCATCTTGTCCTCATCAGATAATAACATTAGCAGGTGAAGACAGGAGTGTTCCTCCTACGTCTCTTAAAAACACAAAGATAACAATACAGCACAGAATCAACACATCTGAAAATGGTACACATTTGTCTGTATTTATTTTTCATTTCATTGAAAATGAACATTTCCTATTATTTTTATCTATTGCCAGCATGGAATTTGGTGCACCTTTTTATTGTAATAAAAATAGACAGTGTCAGTGGTGCCCCAAGTTGGACCCCTGTTAAAAACTGTTGACCCTGCAGAGAATCAAGGTCAATTCACACAAAGGAATAAAGAGTCAAGACAGAAATGTTAAAATACAAAAATGAAAATAAGCCAATATAAACTTCCTGTGGGTGCTGCTGCAGTTGAGGACATGTCTTTCTGAATAAATATCAATAATTTTGTACTTGTATGTTTTCTGTTGGATTTAGAACCACTTCTGTCAAAGAACCTGTTGCTCTTTGTTATCCTCTTAAGTGTTTTAACCTCTAAAAAAAAATTACTCTGCAGCTACAATACGAAAAAAAATAAAAATAATGACAATTAGGTCTGACAAATTGTACTCTAAGTAAAAATGATTCAAGGGGGGTTTATTTTGACAGCTCTGTGTTGGTTTAATATGACATTTTGATTATTGTCAGGATTGTTTTTGTTTTCTTTTCACATTGTTGTTAAGCCTTAGTTTCTGTTGATAATCTTTTCTTAGTATTTATGTCTATAGCTTAAATCTGTCGTCCATTCTTTGTGTTTAGTTCTTTGCTATTTCTCTCTCTCTTCCTCACCTTGTCCTCTGCACTCCCTTCACAGCCGCGCCTCATTTCCTACCTGGTTAAATACTGGGCTGCAATATTTAACCTCCTCTCATTCACTCCTCTTGTTACATCATGCATTTGATCCACTCTGGAGATCTCTTGGGTGGACAGATGAAAGAAGACATAATTATGTTATCTAAGATGTTCATTTTGGTTTTGATACTCAGGCATATTAAATATATACTCCTTAGGCTGCCTTTTGTGGATTGAGCCTGCAGTCCTAATAAGCCTGGTGTGTGGAGCTTCTTTAGTTTTCATGCCATTACATTATTTTTTCATGGTTGTAAAAAGTTTCCAGCTGAAACTGTCTCTGTCTTAATAGCAAACAAAAAATTATAGTCATGTCTTATTAACCAGCTGACGAGGAGGGGGCAGCAACAGGTGTAGGAAGGGTACCAATGTTATCTCATGCTTATTAAAGGTGGAGGAGTCCCAGCTGACTCTGGCATCTCATTGGAAGGACGTAACACCATGGAAACAGGGTGAAATTTGTTGAGCCTTTATAATCCGAAACCTTGTTACACCTTGATGCTGATATCTGGTCCACTCCTTGTTAAAACTATCCAACTTTTGACTCAAACATAAACCTACAATTTGGGATAAAGCAGTTTTGTCAGGTGGTCAAAATTCATTCAAAATATCAATAATATCAAGACTGAATCGGTATTGATACTAGATCGATACTCGCATGGTACTGTGGCATCAGATTCTGTCCTGACATTCTATTTTTGTATCGTAGTTTCCCAATTATATCTCCAAAATGACTTTGTTTTGATGTGCTCTCAAATTCCACTTTTTTTGTTTTTTGTTTTTGCACATTTTTTTTATATTAAAAACAAATTACACAAATTTGTTTAGCTTTTCTTTTTCCTGTTTGCCAGGATATTAACTTCAACAAGTTAATATGTTGTTGAAGTATTTTTAGACACCTCTGAACATTGTCTCAATTCCATCCTTGGTTTTAACAAATTAATTCAAAGGAAAAACCTCAAAAATGCCTAAAAGTCAAACTTCAATTCTTTTAAGTAACAATGATACAAGCTTTGCATTTACTTCGTATCGGATCAATACCAAAACATGCAGTATTGCACATTTCTGTTTGTGGGTAACAAACAGTCAGGTGGGTTCAGTATCAGGTTTTAGGTGTATTCAGAGGAAAAGCTGCGGCTTTGAGGAGAACATTTCATTTTCTATTGCACTGAATTCAGATGGTGTACATGTTTGTGCGCACCTCAACACATTCTCTTGTTGATTTTGAGTCATCACCTGGTGCTGCCGGGGTTTTCTGGGTCTTTGCTCACTTGTGGCAGTCTGAGCAGGAACGTAGCTTCTGGCTCAGGGCTAATCGTCACAGGGGTGATGGAGATAACAGTGATGTATGGAGTGGTCAGGGTGGTTTAACACCCACAGCCGACTGTTGTCTGCCGGGGTCAGGCTGTGTGATACTGGAGTGCTGAGTGAGGCAGCTCCTCGCATCTCTGGGATTTGGCAGTTCTTCCAGCTTCAGGTGGATGATTGTGGGCTGGTCTCTGTTTTTTTGGGGTGCAGAATCCTGCTTTGGTGTTCAGGCATCTGTCTGTCGCTCTAGATAAAAAATATTCTCTTGGCTACAAGTCAGACTAGCAGTTCGTGCGTGCTGTGACATGGTGTTGTTGCTTTTTACTGATAGGTTCTTTTTGTGTTTAACCGATAACTAGGACTCTCACAATAACAAATTTTGCTGGACAATAAATAGTCCAAGAAGTTATTGTAATAAATGCTAATATTGTTGTTTTGAGACCATTTTTGAGTAATACACTGTAATCCAAATTATTATGCAAGTGATATTGTCTCAGATTTTTTAAATGGTCAGTGCAAATGATGGTCAGTATGATTTTCAAGCCATGAACTATTACAGTATTAATCACATTTTACTGAACAAAGCTCCCCAGGAGAACAGTATATTTTAATTTTTTAAAACTAAAAAACTCAAAATGCACTGTTCCAAATTATTATGCACAGCATATTTTCTAAACATATTATGGATTATAAAGAACTGCAAATGGTCATTCTTTGACTGTGCAGCATTAAGTGGTCACATGTACTAAAATCAAAAGCTGTTTCAATCAAAAACATCTTAACTGACCAAGTTACATTTTAAAATTGGACCTACTTTGATATCACCCTCTCAATTCTTGATCCATTGAACTTGTGAGTTTGTGGAAAGTTTCTGCTTGAATTTCTCTGCAGGATGTCAGAATATCTTCCTAGAGCTTTGATATGAACTGCATCCCACCCTCAGATATTCTGCTTGAGGAAACTCCAAAGGTTCTCCATAGGGTCAGAGGTCAGAGGAGGATGGTGACACACCATGAGTTTCTCCCCTTTTATGCCCATTGCAGCCAGTGACACAGTGGTATTCCTTGAAACATGAGATGGTGGATTGTCATGCATGAAGATGATTTTGCACCTGAAGGTCTGGATGGATCTTCTTCTTGAACCATGGAAGAAAGTGAGACTTTCAGTCAGAAAGTCCATAAACTTTGCTGAGGTCATTTTCACACCTTCAGGGACTCTGAAGGGACCGACCATCTCTCTCTCTGCTCTCTCTTTCTCACTCTCTGTTTCTCTCTCTCTCCCCTTGATTTCAGCCCCAAAAATGACTCCCTCAACGCATTGCTGATGTCACAGCAGTGTTGGGATGTGATGGCTATCCACACCAATCCACTACTGCGTCCATCTGGACATTCCAGGGTTGCACAGCAGTCATCAGTGAACAAGTCTGTTTGAAAATTAATCTTCATGTTTGTCTGGGCCGACTGTGACCGTTCCTGCTTGTGAGCTCTGGTTAGGGGCCCAATATTAGGTTCATGCACTGCAAGCCTCTGGAGGATCCTCCTCCACCTTGAGTTTCCAGAGGAACCAGCAGCTTCAAATAACTGTTTACTGTTTTGTAAGGACATTTTAACAGCTGCTCTCTTAATCCCATATATATTTATATATATATTTGTGTAACAGAAACTTTCCTTATTTTGCCTTTGTCTGTTCAAACGCATCTTTGTCCTGAATCGCCACAAATCTCTTCACAGTACGATGATAACACTTCAGTTTTCGTTAAATATTTAATGTTTTCATATCTTGTCATACGGCACTACAGTATCTGATGATTTTCATCAGCAGAGATCCTTTCTCTTTCCATATTTTATATGAGTTGGGAAAAAGCTATTTATCTTGTTCTAAATTGTTAGTGATATTTCCATGATACACCCTGCATTATAAGGATTGCAAATTACTCTTGTAAAGATTTGCTTTAGTCCAGCAAGATACTCCATATCTGAAATCTATAGTTTTTGACCAGTTTTGCAGACTAAACAGTTTG